TTGAATGTTTGGGTCTGTGAGCCATCTCAATCACTTTTGTGTGTAGAATGAGTTAGGGGTTAATTATTATTATTTTTTTCTGTCTAGATACAGCCCATTGTTACAGCAGCCATTTTAGAAAAGACTCCTTCCTCATGAAATTAACCTGGCTCCTCTTTTCCCATTTTGATTGCAGGCTCCTGGAAGGTTGGGACTTTGGATTACACGCCGTGTGTATCTGAATTAAAAGTAGGGACTTGCTTTGGCTCTGAACACGAGGGAGGCAAAATGGCAGCAGCTTGAACAAGTGCACCCATTAGTAGTCCTAAACAACAACCCATCCCCAAACTCACTGGCTGATGTTAATCATCCTTTTCAACTGTGGGCTGTGCTTTGGCGAATCTACACCGAGCTCAGCTGGGTGCTTCTCGGGTTGTGGCAGCTGAGGCAACCCTGCATCTCACTGAGCTCTGTGGTTGGACTGGGTGGTCCCTTCCACCTTGGATTGGGGTGGGGGCTGGGTTAACCAGAGTTATCCTTCTGGTAAAGGAAGAGGTGAAAAACGGGAAGCAGAAAAAATGCTGGAGGTCTCTTAAGGCCCAGGCTCAGAACTGTTGTTTCTACCCATGAAGGAGTCACATTGGCTGAGCCCAAAGTCAGAGGGGTGGGGAACACGCTCTGCCTGTGGTGAGGACATGGAAAGGATGTACATGTGGGGAGGAGTGAAGAATTATGGCCAATTGCTCCATCTAGCACAAGGGTGGGAAATGTCCCGGGCCGTATCAGGCCTGTAAAATCATTTGGTCTGGCCCTGCCAAAGCAGTAGGGGTGAGTTAATTAAATGTTTGAGCAAATATAGCAGTTTAATTTTTTTCTTTATTAAGGTATTACACATGTGTCCTTATTGCCCCATTGCCCTCCTGCCCCCTCCCCCATTCATACCCTCCTGGTGTCTGTGTCCATTGGTTATGCTTATATATGTGCATATAAGTCTTTTGTTTGGTCTCCTCCCCTTACCCCCACCCTCCTCTGCCTTCCCTCTGAGGAGAAACGGAGGTATTTTAAATGTGCCTTTTGGACACTTTTAGCACATGCATGTAACAATGATTATGTAATTATCTTGAGAAGACTTTAAAGTCTAAATTTCTGGCCTTCTGGCCTCGCCTCCGGGAAGGCCTACTCAAGCGTGCAGCACATTCCGTTTCTGACCACCTAACGGGAGGCCTTCCCTCCCACCCTGCCTCCCTCTCTTGTAAGTTTGAGTCCGGATGAGTAGAGGTGCATATATCCTTTCTGATTGGTGTTTCTTGTTTCTTGGGACATATTCTTAGAAGTGGGATCACTGGGTTGAATGGGACTTCCATTTTCAGTTTTTTGAGAAAACTCCATACTGTTCTCCACAGTGGCTGTACCAGTCTGCATTCCCACCAGCAGTAGCAGGCTAATTTTTAAGTTGGTCGTTTTGCATGGCCTGAGAATGATATTATAAATATCTAAATGGCCATTGGCAGAAAAAAGGTTCCCTACCTCTGATAAGCACAAGTTAGGAATTTATTTCTCTCATATGAAAGTCCAGAGGTAGGCGGTCCAAGGCTGGTGTAGTCCACCAAATTCTCAGGAACTTAGCAGCTTCTGGCCATTGCTCCTCTGTGCATGACCTTGGTGTTCAAGTTCACTGATGGACTACGGTGGCAGCTTTAGCTCCAGCCATGAGGTAGAAGGAAGGGATAACGGAGAAAGGAAACCAAGGGAACATGCCAACTGCCATTTAAAAGAGGTTTCTAGAAGTTGCCAAAATGTGCTTTCACAGCATGTGGCCACAGCTGCTTGCAAGGGAGACTGAAAATATAATCTTTATGCCAGTTGGCCACATACTTTAGTAAATCAGATCTGTTACTAACAAAAATATTCGATTCCTGGTCAGGCCACATGTCTGGGTTGCGGGCTTGTTCCCCCATCATGCAGGAGGCAGCTGATCAGTGATTCTCTCTCATCATTGATATTTCTCTCTTTCTCTCTTCCTCTCCTTTCCTCTCTGAAATCAATAAACATATATATTTTTTTAAAAAAATAGTAAGTTAGATGGAGCCAAGGATCAAACCAGTGATTTGGAAGACAAGGTAGCAGAAAACAACCCCTTCTGACCCTCACCTTGGCAGGCTGACTTCTTGTTGGAGCTATTACAGCTATTGTTATAATCTTTGGATTCCATATTTTGCCCATTGGACTGTATTAAGCACATGTGGGGCTCTCCCAATTTTGGACCCTCTCAATTGCCAGATGGTTCCTAAGATGTAACAGAAGAAATATTCTGACCACCAGGACTTACCTTGGAGAGCTCTTGTCCAGGGCCACACAGTTGGCAAGTGACACACCGTCCCCATTGGTCCCAATATTCATTTTCTTGGCAATCCATGGTGGGAGGGCTATGGGAATAGAACATAAAAAAACTAGGGAACTAGTAGAAATAGATTGTAAGTTAAGTAGTAGCTTCTATGTCACTTGATTCATGTGCCCAATTAATCTTATTTATTTATTTATTTTTAAAATTTCTGTGTACTCTTAAACTTGTCTCAGACTTGGAGATAGAGTTGGGGGAAGCCTGCCTAAAACAGCTAATGCAGGATTCCAAAATGATGGCTGATTAAGTGGAAGCTACACTGACATTTTCTGAGGACCAAACTGGAGTTACAACTAAAATATAGTAAAACCATCCTGAATAACCAACTGAAGACTAGCTGAGGAGAATCCTTATAAACAATGGCGTAGCCCTGACCGGTTTGGCTCAGTGGATAGAGCATCGGCCTGTGGACTGAAGGGTCCCAGGTTCGATTCCAGTCAAGGGCATGTACCTGGGTTGCGGGCACATCCCCAGTGAGGGGTATGCAGGAGGCAGCTGATCAATGTTTCTCTCTCATCGATGTTTCTGGCTCTCTATCCCTCTCCCTTCCTCTCTGTAAAAAAAAAAAAATCAATAACAATGGCGTAAAGAGTAGACCACATAGAGAGATTGACTCATCAAGAAGTAAAGAGAGAGAACCTAAATAAATAAAATTAGGAAAGAGAGAAGTGAAGAAGCAACTGACACCACATAAATACAAAGGATTGTAAGAAAATATTACAAACAACTATATCCCAACAAATTGAACAAACTGTACAAAAGGATAAATTCCTAGAAGCATACAATCTTCGAAAACTGACTCAGGAAGAATCAGAATATCTGAGTGAATCAATAACAACTGCTGAAATTGAAGCAGTGATAAAAAACCAACCAAACAACAACAACAAACAAACAAACAACAATAACAAAAAACCTCCCAGGATACAAAAGTCTTGGACCTGACAGACTAACAGGGCTTTTTAACAAACATTCAAAGAAGAACTAACACCTATCCTCTTCAAAATATTCCAAAAAATTCAAGAGAAAGAAAGTTCTTTTTATGAGGCCAGCTTTATCCTAATTCCAAAACCAGAAAAACTACAATAAAAGAAAATTACTGGCAAAATTTCCCAGATGAACATACGTGCCAAAATCTAAAACAAATTATCAGCAAATCAGACCCAGAAATATATTAAAAAAGATTATCCATTATGACCAAGGAAAATTTATTTTGGTGACACAAGCCTGTGCAATATTCGCCAAACAATAAATATGGTACATCACATAAACAAACTGAAAGATAAAAGTCATATGATCATATCAATAGAAGCAGAAAAAGCATTTGACAGAATCCAGCACACATTTTTTATAACAACTCTCAGCAAAGTGGATATAGAGCAATCACACAAATAAAGGCCATATATCACAAAACTACAGCTAATATTACATAATTGGCAAAAACTAAAAGCATTTCCCTTAAGAACAGGAACAAGATAGGGATGCCCTCTTTCACCACTCTTATTCATCATAGTACTAGAAGTCTTAGCCACAGCAATCAGATAAGAAGAAAAAATAAAATTTATTCAAATTGGAAAGGAGGAAATGAAACTCATTATTCACAGTTTGTCATGATATTATACATAGAAACCTCTAAAGACTCCACCAAAAATTACTAGATTTAATAAATGAATTTGGAAAAGTAGCAAGATACAAAATTAACATCCAGAAATCTATGGCATTTCTATACACCAGTAATGAACTCTCAGAAAGAGAAACTAAAAAAACAAAAAAACCGTTTGTCATTGCAACAACAACAACAACAACAAGGATATCTTGGAATAAACTTATCCAAGGACGTAAAAAGCCTATACTCAGCAAGCTACAGGATACTGAGAAAAGCAACAGAGAAATATACAAACAAATGGAAGAATACACTGTGTTTATGGATTGGAATAATTAACATAATTATTAAAATGCCCATAATACCCAAAGAAATCTATAGATTCAACTCAATCCCTCTTAAAATGGCAATGTCATCTTTCACAGATATAGAACAAATAATCCAAAAAATTATTTGGAACCAAAAGAGACCCCCAAAAGTCACAGCAATCTTGAGAAAAGAATGCAAAGTTGGAGGGATCACAATACCTGATATCGAATTATACTACAAAGCCATTATAATCAGAACAATCTGATACTGTCACAAGAAGAGGCATAAGGATCAATGGAACAGAACAGAGCACCCAGAAATTGACCCAAGCCATTATGCTCAATTAATACTTGACAAAAGAAGTAAGAGCATACAATAGGGTAATGACAGTCTCTTCATTCCCTCTCATCATTGATGTTTCTATCTCTCTCTCCCTCTCCCTTCCTCTCTGAAGTCAATAAAAATATAAAAAAGACAGTCTCTTCAATAAATGGATTTTGGGAAAATTGGACAAGTAAATGCAAGAAAATGAAACTAGACCATCAAGTTACACCATACAAGAGAATAAATTCAAAATGAATAAAAGACTTAAATGTAGGTTGTGAAACCATAAAAATCCTAGAAGAAACCTTCAGCAGCAAAATCTCAGACGTATCTCCTAGCAATATGTTTGCTGATACATCTCCTAGGGCAAAGTATGTGTCTATCATTTTACTTTTTATCCAATCCCAGGGATTTCCCTACTCTGCTTTCTCCTGCCTCTCTAGTCTATCATCAATGAATTTCCTGTAACCCACCTATCTGCCTTTCCTTTGATTGCAATGTATACTAGTAATCACTGTGAAAGAGAGGGCTAAGGGGTTTGCCTGGCTCAAAGGTCCAAGCAGCCTCGACTGCCTGCCTCATTAGGCTTTTATTGGAATTTTTATCTTTAGATACAATCAGTAGGGTGAGTAATCTTGGGAGGACACATGTGTTTACATTGTCCTCTAGGCAAGGGCATCCAGGGATTAAGCATAAGGATTGCAGTAAACACCCAGGGATCTGCACGTACACAGACTTGTTTGGAAAGGTCAAAGAATAATTAGGGGCGCCACCTTCAATACTCCCCTAAGTCTCCCTTACATCGGAATTCTGATAAATAGGGCAGGCGGCCTTCCCACACTTCCCTTTTCTCAGAATGTCCTCCTTACAAACTTTCCAACCAAGTCTTGTGTGCTCCCCAACATGGGAATACATCAAAATAAACAGCTGCACAGGAAGAGAAACCATCAACAAAATAAAAAGGAATCCCACTGTATGGGAGAACATATTTGCCAATGACACATCTGATAAAGGGTTAGTTTCCAAAATATATAAAGAATTCATAGAACTTAAGAAAAGGAAGAAGCAATGAAATTTTTTAAAAAATAGGCAAAATACCTATGTAGACACTTCTCCAAAGAAGACATACTGATGGCCAAGAGATATGAGAAATTGCTCAAGGCAACTAATCATCGGATAGATGCAAATTACACACCATCCATGTGAGGTGAGCAAATAGAACGCTGTGGCTGAGAAAGCTGAAGGACACTTCTTTTTTTATCAAAATTGTGTGAAGTACCTTTGAGGACACCTAACTGGTATTGCTTCTGTCCTAGGTAGAGTAGAAGTGGAAAATGACACAGCATGAATAAATGCCCTGGTGCACTAAGATGTAGAGAAGGGAAAACATTCAGATAATAATTCTTGGAATACAGATGGCATAGAGCAGTAGCATTAGCATTGGTCTGAGACAGTTGTGAGATATGTGTTCTGATACTAGATATAGGTGTACCCAATCATCCCTTTGCTCAGGCATAAAAGGCTACCATGTGGTATTGAACTTTCAGTGCTAAAACTGGGACAGTATCTGACAACATTGGATGTTTGGTCAACTTACTTAGCTCTTCTTCTTTCAAGCTATTTCCTTGGATGAGTCACTTAATATTTTCTGGCCCCAGTTAATCTGAAAAAGGGGGACAAAATGTTTCTCACATAACTTACATAGCTCTTGGGAGAATTATAAGAGCTAAGGTGCATCAAACCATTCTGAAGGCTTTGAAAAGCTGTGCAAAATAAGAATGAGTTAAGTATGCAGAGAGATAGTGCTGTACAAAGAAGAATTGTAATGAGGGAGAATCAAGTAATTGATACAGTGAGATTGCACTACTCAAGAGAAAGATTGGGTGAGAGTCTTTTTGCTCACTCCTTAACCTCATACCAATGTTAACCTCAAGTGGCTTCTCAAAGAACTGAATGTCCTAAGTGTGTACTTCTAGTCGGAAGAGAGGATAGTGAGCATTTCATCACTCATTCCCTCAAAAGTCACTAATAGCAATGGAATAAGTCATCCTGTCTGGAAAGCCTGCACCTTTTCCCACCATCAACTGGGCCATTCTGGACTACACAATCTATTTTGCACAAGCTGAAGGTGCCCCCTCCTGTGTTATTCTGATTACTGGCCTATAGTTAAAGCCTCAGTAGACATGCTCCCCTCCCTAACCACCCTTCAAATTAAGGACCAAAATCATCAGTGGTTTCTTAGCCTTCATGACAAGAGAATTAAATGTCATGGGCAGACATCCAGCATACTGGTCTAAACAATTCTCTTGTATTTTCTTGCTCACAAATATAGAAAAACATTGACAGAAGCCAAACAACAATCCTGCCCTTGAAATAAGCTCCTGACATAGCCAACGGAAATCTCCATAGCAGCTGCTCCTGGCCTTTGGGTGTCTGAGACACCCTCTTTTGTTTGGTTTTCAGAGCCCCAACCATCTAATACATCATGTGGCATGAATCTTAACACATTCACTCTAAGCCTGGCTTCAAGACCCATGTATAGGCAAGGTAGGCTTATTGCAAAATCCCCATATCATGACCTAGTGAAAGAACAGAGGGCTTTACCTGCCCCCCTCTTTTTGTCAAACTGTTTATCAAAAGCAAAACATTAAATTGTCTGTCATTATTAGCTTAACAAATTACCTTTATTAAAGAGAGCAAAATCATATAGATGCTGGTTGTTCTGAAGAAATCTGAGCATATGGGTAGAATTGTCTAATAATGGTTAAATGTCATTATCCAGGAACAATCTC